CACTGAATGCCACAAAGCAAGTTTTGTGCTTGGATATGGCATGTTCACACTGAACAGACTCTAACTCACACTTCCAGTTCTACATCTGCATCAAATGCCAGGCTTCAGGCACCCCACAGCTTCAGTAACACTTACCTGGAGCCATCCACCACAGCCTGTCTGCTCATCTCCAACCCCTCTCCCAGGAGTCTGGTTGCCACAGGTATGTCCTGTTAGCTCAAGAGGCTCCAACACAGTCCTGCTGAGGTACCTGCAAGTTACCTTTCAGTGTTTGGGATGGATGGTGCCTGTGAAAAGACAGGTGACATTCAGCAAAGAGGAGTTTGACCAGGGAAATCCATGACCAGCTCCCAATGCTGCTACCACCTCATTCCTTGGGTTATAGTTTACTTGCTGCCCTCTTTTTGAGGGACCAACAAATTCATTATTTTTGGGGAAGGAGAAAGAGGAAATGAAATCCAATTCTCCTTGCCCTTTCTCCTTTCTTAATGTCATCTTGGGATGAAAGAGAAGAATGCCCCTTTCTTCTAAACTCCAGAAGGCACAGAGGGAAGAGCAGTTCTCATGGTCCCAGGCACTTCCTGGGGCAGTAGCTAGCAGTCAAAGACCTGTTTTCCATCTGCTCACCCAGCTGCTACAGTGTGTGTCCTACCTCAGCCCAAATCACAGCTGCTGGTGGGAACAAACACCCAGGTTTGCAGAGCTGCACCCAGCTCTTTGCTTTCAGGAAACCACAGCCCTGGTTACGTGTGCTAGCTGTAACATGGGTAAGTAATGCTATGTATATTCACAGTGGGCAATCCAGAGCTGTTTTTGAGATGGCATTTGCATTTTGGTGGGGTAGCATGTGGCTGCTGGGCCCATCCCAGGGCAGGCAGCATAAAGTAGAGCCACTGCAGTTGTGCACCACCAGCAAAGCAAGGAGTTTTGATAAAGTCTGTTCATCCAGTTACTGTACAAAGATTCCTGAAAATGCATGAAACGATGTATTAATCAACAGTAGTCAGCAGCAGAAGCCTGTTTTGCTGGGCAATGTCTACATGACTGCTCTTTCTATTCTTCTCTACAGTTATGACTTTTTTACACCAGTTTGCACTGTTGTAGGGATGAGAGGTCTTCTTCTAAGCCCTTGCACCAGCATACACTTAGAAGATGCTGTTGCTGGACAGAACTGAGGACTAAACTTCAGTGAAGCTTGCACTTGAATGCTTTCTGCTCCTCAACAGCATTTGTGACCCTCACAGTGTTTTCCTTCACTTTAAACATGAATGTGTGGATCTGTGAGGCAGCAAAGCACTCGTTTGATATCTCACAGCCATGTTACTGTCTCATGCATTTCTGCAGTCCTGATAAGCACTGATGTGACAGCCCTGGGGTAGCCCATATCTTCAGCCCTCCCTCTTCTCCCAAACACGTGGAACCCCAGTGCTGGTTCAAGCCAGGATGTCTGTGCTGGCCTCCAACAATGCCATTTCTTCCATTGCCCAGACCTGTTGTTTTCAAAGGAGCAAAGGGCCAAGGGATCTATTTGTTGATGGTGTGTATGTTGGTTACTACCAGGACTGGCAGTTTTAAGGATTTTCCACGTATCGCGTGTCCTTCCACGTTGCAGTGCACTGACCCAGACACAACACTGACAGCTGCAGGGTAAATAAATAAAAACAGAGTATTTTGATCTTGGAGGGGGAGGTGATTTGGAGGGGAGGGGGCGGGGGTGTCAGCCAGACAGAACAGGGTGGCCACAGCTGTGATGGGAACAGATGCGGCACAGGGAGAGGGAGCGGGGAATAAAGTTCTGCAAATGTAAGCAATGCTGGAAAGTCTTGGAGAATGGCACGCATATTTGGGACAGGTGGGAAGTGTTTACATTGAAATAAGAAGGACAACAGCCTGAAAGAATGCTGGTCACATTACCTGTGACCCAAGCTGACCGCTCCGCAGCTCCAGAACATCTCAGACCACCATTTCACTGGTACACCAGAGCTCACTGAACGCACGTAGTCTGGTACATCCAGCATAAATGAGCATCCAGTGCTCTGCAGAACTCGTAGGTGTTTTGTCCCTCTCAGAAGCACGCTGACATTGGCTCCAAGCCTACCTTTATCCCAGTCTAGCTTATAGCACATCTCTGTAGTGCCGCTTTGTAATTGTTTGACCAGGAGAGCATGAGGCAGTACCAACACTATGCTCACCTGAGCCAGCAAGCTGGCAGCTTGGTCTCCAGCACAGCTGGCACACTGCTGGCAGTGTCTGAGGACACCTGTCCAGCTGACCTCAAAGAACAGCCCTGCCACAGTGGGGCCCAAGCTTGGTTAGACTTGTTTGTCTGCAGCCTAGCAGAAGCTCTTTCCACTGACATTTAGTGAAACAACCTGAGTTGCACTGCTGCCAGGAGAAGCTCAGAGAGGGTCCTGTGGGGCAGGTAATCTGCTGCTAGCCCTGGCCTCCTGAGGTCATCTTTAGGTACAAAGCAGTTGTTCTGTCTGGTCATTAGAGATAAGAAATTGTGTGGCTTCTTCCAGGGAATCTCTGCAATGCTTCAGTGAATTGCCTTTGCCGTTTTAGAGAAAGGACTCATTACATCTAAGGACATGAACAAAATCCTCTTTTTTTCCTGGCACAGTTCATCCCTTTCCATAAAACATTAAGAGCTGCATTTTTCAGGAGCCCTGGAGGCACCTGTGTCCCTATTTAAAATTAATGGAGGGCTGAGAACCTATCTCCCTAAGGTGTCCCTGAAATGCCAGCTAAATGAGCTGAGCCCAGCCCAGAATGGGCATCTGCTGCAGCTCTGGTGTAGCTGCAGGATGGATGCCTCTGTCACACCTGCATTACCCAAGAGTGGTGAGGAGATGATGTATCCAAGGTCATTTTATCTAGCAGTGAGGATCAGAAACCTCCCGAGTCTTGTCTCTACCTCTAAGCCTCGCTATTGCTCCTGGCTGATCCCTGCCTCCCACGACCCATGGGAAAAGAAATTCTTCCAATGGCAGCTATTTCACCAGAAGATGCTCAAAGGCAGCTCGCAAGAAAGTCTGAGCATTTCTAATCAAGTTAAAGAAGGGCTTACAGACATAAAGTCATGTTGAGAGACATTCTCTGAATTTATTCACACCCTAACCCCTAGATAAAAATAGCTTTATATGTTAAGTTTAGGACCAGAGAGAGCCCAGAGGATAGTGAGGGATTATCAGAAAAGGGCAGGAAGGCAGTCAGAAAGAACCTAGGGGACATCTTGTACAATTTCCATGAAGGGAATAATTAATTCTAAGTGTATACAGACAGCTCTGGGAGTGTCCACTCTAGAGATTTTCAAAGAGTCCTTTGCTGCTTTGGGCTCACTGTAAATCAAATGTCCTAAAAAAAAAATACTTCAGCTATGCATTTCATTTCAGTTATACAGTGCTTAAATGCCAAGGGATGAGGGAAAACTTCTTATTAAAGGGCTGCAAGAGTTTAATAAGGTACACAGTCATTAGAAAGTTGTTGAGTCATGAAAATAGTCTCAATAATTTGAAATTAATGTTTAGTGTATGCTGTACCATAAAGTGCTTAGATGTTGTGGCCATGGATACGAAAGAAAAACCTTAAGGCCATGACTACACGAGCAAGTTACCGCAAGGTAAGCGAGGGTGTAATTTCAGAGCACGCTACTTACATTAAGGTAAGTTCCCATTTGAAGGCTGGGACCAGGGCAAGCAGCTAAACCCTCTGCTGAACCCTGCACAGGCTAACCTTGAAGGGCTGCTGGCCGAGGGCATGAATGCAGCTGGGTACTGCAGAACAGAAAAAGCAAAGTAAAACTGAGCAGTAGCTGAGCTTTGAGTAACTGTGCTCTCTAGCATAGATGTAAGAATTGATGGACTACATGAAGGAGTCAATGAAAGAGAAATAGGCACAGTCAAGAAGCCTAATGGCAAGGGCTAGAACCTGATATAGAGATTCTACTTCATTGTAAGAATACATACACTAATAAATGCTTGCAAGTAATAATCAAGATTGCAGCTCCCCAGTACCACTGGCTCTGTTGAAGAAGTAGGGAAAAATGACTACCAAGAGTTCTGCTCTCTCTTCTCTTTTCTAGAAAAACACAACTATTAGAGAAGTGAGCATGCTTCTGCTGATCTGCCCTTTCTTTTCCATCTCTGGGTTCTGCCAAGCAAAATTCTGCTTATGACTTTAAAAAAGACCAGAATTTCTGGATGTAGTTTGTTGCGGAATGTGTTCCTGATAAATCATTTAAAACCAGGACAACAAAGCTCCTATCCCAGATTAAGGATTCATCCTGGAACTCACCCTGAGCCTGTCCAGTGCTGGGTGGAAAAATCACAGCCTTTCTAATCCCAGTGTCTAGGGGCATCCTGGAGATTTTCCTTTTCAATTCATTAATTCAATTAACTGCAGGACTGCATAACTGTTATCTCCTCCTTCCACTAGTTAGTTCAATGAAGGGAGCTGCAACCATTGTTCTTCTCCAAATTTTGCAAACTGTTCATATGTTCTGTTGTAAAAAAGGGAGTGGATCTTCACCAAGACAACCCAAGGTGAGCAGGAGGAAGTGCCTGAGGAAGCATCTGAATTTTCCAAACAAATCCCCAGGAGCAGGTGGGCAATCTGAAGTTCAGACAGACTTTAGCAACCTTTGAGGAGTGAAAGAAAGATGACAAAGGCAGCCACAAGCCCTGAGAGTACAACTTTCACTGCCTCTCACGCAGTTAGAACTTCATCAGATCAGACTGCAGCTTCCTTTGGATGGGTGTGTTAGACCCAGTAATGACACCTAGTCATTGCACACATCCTTTTGTTACAGATCAAGGACTAATGATCTTATAACCCATGTTTGCCTACTTCCCTTTTGGGCTGGCCTGCAGATCAAGCCTATAGGAATCTCACTGCTTAATGAGCAAAGTTCCGGACCCAAGGCAGAACTACAAATATAACCTGCTTATATCCTAAAAAAACTCAAGCAGAACTAGATGCCTTTGTAAAGCCTGGTTTATGCTACAGAAGCTTCCTAGGTGGGAAGAGAAGACAAACTAGAAAAGGTAGAAAAATAGCTTTTTCCCCACATTGATTGCTTTCCTTCCTAGTATTCCAGTGCCTCCCTCATAACAATATCTTTCAGACTAAGGGAAATAGGATGTGCTTCGAAGCCATCACACCTTGTGCAGAAGGGGAACATACCACAGCGGGCACTGCTCGGCATTCTTCATACCCCATGTGGACACAGGGGACAGGTTGCAGATCCCAGTCAGCACACCACCTAAAATTACATAGAAATTAAGCAGAAAATACTGTTCATTCACTAGTTAAGAGTAACTTACATTTCTGCTCCTGCCCCAGCCCTACAATGATGGAACATCATTCCAATGGAGTACAAACATCCACAAGCCCGCTGTCTTATTGACTGTAGGTATCTGTTTTCTTTAGATACTCACAGTAACAGTGTCTCAAGAGTTAAGCCACTTGGAAGAAGGGGATTTTAGTAGAATATCCGGAGTGGCAACCGTTATCAGCAGTGTTAATCTGTCACATCTTTCCTGAACTGTGCATACCACGCTCCATCACACTGGCATGTCATGGCCTGCATTGTTACGAGATGTGCTGAAGCTGTAGCCAGCCACAGTTTGGCATCTTGGTGAACCTTCTGATCCAAGAAAATACGGGAAAGAAAGAAAAAAGGAAGTAATTTTCAAAATAATAATGTAAAAAAAAACCATAAAAAACTAAAAAAGAAAAAGAAAAAAACAACAAAACCCAACTCACCTCTAAAAAAAGCAGCCAAAACTAACCCCAAGACTCATAATTATTAAGATCGACATTTTTCAAATATAACTGTAAAATAAATCTGTTTGTATTAAGATAGACCCTTGAATCCACACCACTTAAGGGATGCCAGACAGCCTAAAACCTAGAGCTAATCTTCATCATGTTTCTCTCCTATTCAAGCACATTCAAAGAAAAAAAAAAAAACAAACAAAAAAACAAAACCCACATTTGTTTTCCTGGTTCCTGTTTTCCTGGTTCTGGCCAGAACCTGGCCCATAGCCAGGCTGTCCTGAAAACATCCTGTATCTGAGTTTGGAATTGCACCAGACTTGAGCTGGACCAGTCCTTGGAGTCAGCGCCACTGGGGAACACAGAGCCCACACCCCAAAGCCCAGCCTTCTGTGCAGACACCAGACTGCAGACACCAGATGAGAGGGAAGGCTCTTGGCTCTATTGTTGTTGTTGAGCTTCTGGAAAGGAGCTAGGGAGAGGAAAAATATTCTGGAGAGGACGAAAAAAGTCTCACAGGAATGGATGATCTCACTTGTCCACACACACACCCAGACATACAAATATATATAATTAACTGGAAAATACTGTGCGGTATAAAGGTTTCTTCAGCTTGGGTACATCACACTTGGGCTAGTCAAGTTTGGTGCAATCATAACAAAGAGTTCTTCCCACACACCTCCTGCTAAGAGCCCTCCTACCACATCATAGCATTTAGTATGTATTTTACTCTGTTGATAGGTACCTCTATGCTTTTCATGTACATAAAACTAGACATGTGATACAATTATTAAATGCATGTGTAATAGACTATGCAGTCATCAATAGAATATACAGGTTTTATGTGCACACATGTTTTTATACAGGCAGTTTATTGACTCTTTCAAACTACAACAAGTATAAGTGAATAAAGGGCAGAAGATAAAGTCACATCCAATTCAAACACCGTAAGACAATTCAAAGCTCTGTGTGCTTTTGTCTCTGCATGGGACATACATGAAAGAACAGAGAGAGAGCAATTCCAGTAGCCCATACTGTAGGATTTTAGGGATCCTTAAGCAGCCCCATGACAACTTGGACAGCATTGCAAAAAGCAGCCTAATACACAGCCAAAACTTAACAGTTTCGCACATATCACAAAAATCTTCTACATCTCTTTCCTCATTGGCTACCTTCTAAGGGACACAGCAAAGAAAATGCTTCTCAGAGCACAGCTCAGACCCTTACCAACACACCAAATCAGCAATGTCATTTCCATGCATTACTGTGATGCCGTATGGCATGACATACAGGCCCTGCCTCTATTCTGTTCCAAAGAAAGAGTTTTAATCTGGGCTTGTTTGTTTTAAGGGAAGTGCGGGGCTTCAGACATGAGCCTCTATTTGTTTTCATTTTATTTTAAAGGAAATGCTGTTAAGCAATCCCATGTACTTTCATCCTGTAGATGAAGTTGCATCCTTAAATACAGCTGGTGGTGTACATTAATTCCACCCTGGATATGCACAGCTTCCATAACAGGCATTCTCAGTTCTGACCAGGGCATATTGAGTCCTCAGGAACCAGTCTGATAGCAAAAACAAACACTTTTCTTGCAAAAAACAGTAGATCTCCTAAAATTTTGCAAAGGTCACGACTGGCTTAATACAAAGAGTGAGGGGAGGTGGGGAGGAAAGAGGAGCTGCGCTGTTTCTGCTGAGGTACCTCCAGAAGCAACTACATGGTTGCAGCATTAATAGAAATAGTTAACACTGTTCTTGCTAGAGCCAGAGCTGGTATGTTGTTTGTCTTGCACTGAAGAAGTAGGCCAGTGTTTCTCAACAGGAAGGCCCGTCTGGATCCCAGACAAAGAGGGCTCAGGAACACCAGCCCTCAAATAACCTAACCACTCGCTCATCCCGACCCTTTACACATTGAAGAAAACTCACCACCATGGCTGCACAACTGCACCCAGCCTTCCCACAAAACAGTTAACCTGATCCCTGAGCAGAGATACTAACGAGAGAAGCCAAGAATGGTTATTTTTTAGGTAACCAGAATGCCCTAAACTTTACTGGCCTTATGTGACTTTTAGCTTCTTGTTCCAAGTGCCGAGCTACTGAAAAACTTGTCTGTTTTTTAAGACTCCAGGTCATTCCTTTCTCTGCGTCCAAGCTGTTCTTCCAATATCTTTTTAAATTGGCTGCTTGTTTCCAGTGAGTAGGCTCTGAACAGCAGGAAAAACTCTGTAAGAGAGATTGTCTCCTTGCATATAAATCTTACTTTGAAAGAAGCTGGTATTTTTGGAATTCAAGGGTCGGGTTCTTTCCCTGTAATATTTTTTGCTCTGCCACTTACAGGAACCCTGTGTTTCTAAGAGGAAGATGCTTTCTCAACTCTAACCTGCAACAAGGGCTACGAGATAAACATCTCCTTTTCCTCAGCACATTTTCTCAATTAAGGGAGCATTCTCTTTTAGTCTGCTCAAGGCTTTCTTCATTTGTCTGCATCCAGGTGTGCAGGTTTTTGGGAGGGAATTTGTCATCCTCCTAAATACAGCACAGCATAGGAATTTTTGTTTGATATGTCTAACTCTCGATATCCCATGTTTCCCCAATTTGCGTGTTAGGATCAATGATAGTCATGGTACAGTCAACTCAGAGATGCTTTGAGGTTCAGTTACACATTGTAAGAGCCTTGACCAAAAGCATTATTTACTGCCAGTTGCTCCCAACAACAACACATGTAAACTTGTAAAAATGAATTACGAGTGTCAAAGGAAGAAAAGCTCTGCCCCTTGAGGCTTATGTTTTATAAAAACCTGATGGTCAAAAAAAGCACAACACAGACTGAAAAGCAGCCCAGAAAAGGGTCTGTTTAATATCATGAGTTTCAGCTGTACACTCACTAAAGCCAGCTCCTCAACCTCGATGCCTTCCTGCATCCACCCCGTGCTCTATATTCCACTGCTGGTAGAGCCTCTGTCATTGGGGAACAGCATAGCACAGGAGAACATCTAGCAGTCCCCTGGCCACATGCTTATACATCACTTAAAAATCCCATTCTGTGACAGAAGCCTGGTGCTCTGGGCTTTTCTTTGCCATGGGACCCAGCATGCTCCCAGCACAAGCTGTGGCATGGTTTCATGCTTAGGCAAAGGAGATACCAAGAGATTTGGGGACTGTGTGTGTAATGGATGACAGCTCTCTGTATGCTGAGTTTGACATCCTAGAAAAAGGAAAGTGCTTTCCTGCTCAGTGCTGCACCTGGCTGGTTGCACCTCCTAGGTGTCCCCAGCCACACTGATAAGTTTGTTATAAGGCAAAGAAGGATGTATAAAAATCGAAGATGGGTCACTGGCTTTCTGTTCCTTTCTCATCCACACAGACAGCAGCAAACTGTAAGCTGAGAAGGACAGAACAAAGCAGCTTTCTCAACTGTTCATGCTTACATAGCCATGTTTAACACCAGAAAAGGGACAGGGCCCAGTCTGCCTTGCAGTGCAGATATCTCCCACTCTGGGCTCACAACATTGCCGATGGAGAAAAGTAGGCAGTTTTAGGGGGGATTAAAAAGGCTTGTTTGGGCTGTCAAGCTTAAGGTGACTCAGTCCTTAGGCACATCTCTTGCTCTCTGCTTGTTAGAAGGGGTGTCTAGACAACTCAGGCGTGCCATGTCCACATTTGGAGGGGATTAATCCCCTCTGACACAACCCATCTGTAGGGCAGCACACTACAAAAAGAGAAGGGAGGTCTCAGCCCCCATGGAGAGTTAGCAGCCTCACTGCTGGCTGACTTGCACAATCAGTTGTGTGCTGCACAGGGAAAACAGTGCCCAAACCTCAACCAGCTCCTAGTGTTTCAATAACTCTGCTGCTCTGCTCTTGGAGCCCTGCAGAGACAGCCAGGAGCCAAGCAGCTCTGACAAAGCTCGCAATTAACCCACCTGATGGATGGGCTTTTCCAAGCAACCCCAGCACCTGGATGCAAACACGCATACCGCCCTCGCTGCTGCGTGGTCTCCAGGACAACTTCCACCAGTGTGTACACAACAGGACAGTCAGGTAGCTGCCTGTGTGCCACTGAAAAGCATCACAATCTTTTATTCCTGGCATCAAGCTCATAGAGATGAATAAAGTTGATATGAGCTATGACACCACCTTGCTATAATGTGCCTGTCTCCAGTGTCAATCTCAAAGCCAATTACATTTCTACTACACACATTCATAACAGACACAAACACACCTCACTGTTCTTTCACAATACCACTCAGTAGTATCAGCACTGCTCACCTACAGAAGTTATGAAAGCCTCAAATCTGTATCTAACACAGCATCCTAGTCATTGCTATATGCAGCAAAGGTCCACAATCATCATGTTTGTCTTTTGGGAGTGGGCTGAAATAGCTTGGGACTGAATAATGGTAGAGTGAATCATTTTCATTCAAATATCTAAATGCAAACATAAATTTGGAGTCTGGTCTTGCTTCCATTTGCAGACAACTTATTGAGCAGAAAGGCCCAGCAGTAATTCTGGAGGTATCTCAAGAGAGAGAACAAGTGAGGTCAGGAAGATCCTGCAGACAAGTTGTTCCAAACACAACAAGAACTTCAAAGAGAGGATCTACTGAAAGAGATTTATTGCCTCGTGCAGTGGTCATTCACATTAAAACTCCACTGTCTATGAATGAGGTACAGCTATTTTACCAAATACATGACTGGTGGTCGTGTCTGATGGCCTCTAGGACTTCAGTTTTCTAACACTTGAGAAACACTGTTAAAAAAACCGTACTTTTTTACACTCATCACATAATATTAAGGTTTAAATTCATGTCATTCATTTGGTAACGATGATGATGAATTTAAGAACTTTTCAGCCTTTCCAAAGACATGCCCAAAATACAGTCCTGGAAGTCAAGGGACAATGAATACTCTGACAAGTAAGTAGAAAGGGATTTGTGCAGAAATATTTGCGTGTGCATGTGCAAGGGGAAGAGACAAAGATGAACTAATCCCTTTCCTTGAGGCTATATCTTTGCTGTTTCAGACTGGCACGTGTCTCCTTTGTTTTCAATAATAGGGGCAATTATATCAGAAATGTTCAACTGTAAATCCATCATGCAATTAAGGGAATTCAAACTGCTCAGAACTAAGGGAACATTTAAAGATGGATTATGGTCAGAGATTCTGAAAATCACACACTATGTTTTCCATCACTCGACTCAAAAGCTCAGGCAGCTTAGTATTCTCCCCAGGAACCTATCTTCTCACCACAAGATAACAGAACCACGCGCTGATTCCAGTGAAAATCGCTAGTGCACTGTGGTGGATGAAAAGAGCTTTCAGAGAGGGATTTTTGGTTTGAGTTTCCTTTAAATTTTTTTACCCTTCTTATCACTAAACAAAAGCTTGTGGTCTTTCTTAGATTGTCTACAATTAAGTTCTTATAAAACCAAAGGCCTGGATAAAGCTAGTCTTATGCAACTTGGATGAAGCATTTTTCCCACTGTAATTATTATTGAAGAAATCTATCATTATATTTTACAGGGAAGCCTAAAATGCATGGCACTTAGTTAAAAGCACAGATGATCTTCCAAATCATCCCACGCTCTACTGCCTATCTTTGAAGGCACAGACAAAAATAAGGAGCACAGAAAGAGGAGACTCATTCTTTGCTCACAGAATCACAAGTGAGGCTCACCTACTGTAGGCACTGAAGTAGGGAATGCCCAGGCTTACCTTAAGTTTTGTCTGCATGACATGGCTTTCATATCTAGTTCAGTGATGGAGCAATGGTGATGGTGAAAGCGTGGGTCCTACATGCAGGGTCTGCTATCCTTTGTGCTGCTTCTCTCTGTTGGTGGCTGCCAGCTTGGCTTGAGCCCAAGGCATCGGTCCTTCCTTAGGAAGGGTGAACCTGGACTTTCTGCTGCTGGGTTGGTGCGCAGCTGTGCACAGCTGGCCAGTGCTACCAAGCCAAGGGTGTGGAATGTCCTGTTTCCTCCTCCAGAAAGGGAATACCATTTCACCGTGTGCTTGTAGTAAAGGACGGAGAGATTGGTTTGAGCACAGCCTCAGACTTCATCAGCAAAACTGATGCAGAGCTCAGGAACTAGAGATCGCTCTGACTCTGATAGGTCTATCTGGTACTTCATGAACAGGTGAGCTGTATCTGTTATAAAGAGCAGAAACAAAACTCATTTGCACCTTCCTTCCCTTTCTTCTCAACGTGAACAGAGAATGATTTTTTGGGTGATTTTGGGTAAGGAATGCCATTACTTACGCCACAGTCACTTGGGTAATATTTCTTACCGATAGCCTTCTGCAGGGCAAGCTCAGGCAAGGAAGACCAAATCTTTCCTTCGGGGCACCCATTGACTGCATATAACTGCAGAAATGCCAACAACAACAAAAAAATCAAATGAAAAATGGAACATGAGTGTACAGGGCTTGACTCAGAAACCATAACGTTTGGGGGAGGGTTTTTGTTGTTCGTTTTCCTTTGGGGTGTACTTAGGTCACACACTACATAAATGCAAGGGCTAGAAACACTTTTTTTTAAAAAAAACAAAAATTAGATTTCTTACATAATAGCATAATAGTTATTTTTTTTTTTCCAAGAGCATAACATTGCAAAATTCATGATAAAATTATGAGAATTGGCTACATAGTAAATACTGATCCCACTTCTACGTGCAGCACTGCACAAATGTTGAGTTGATTAAAAACTAGACAACTTTCTTCCACTCACCACATTTGGATTGTTATACAAACCAAAAATCTTCATGTTCTGAGTATCACCCAATCTTACTTGAAGCCTTTTGGCTAGCCAGGGTTTGTTTCTTTGCTGGAATGAATGGGACAAGTACTCCACCCATCCTTTTAAATAGACTTAAGCTGTATCATTTAAGTTACTTGGAACAGGATGCAGGGACCATCAGTAAAGGATTAACTGTAACAAAATCTTTGTGAGGTTAAAAACTGAACAAGCTGGCCCTTCAAACTTAGTGATGGGCTATTTGCCTGTAGCAAACCAACCTTCCGAAAAACAACCTAATTACATGTCTCTGGCTTCAAGGTGGTGTGTGTGAGTTTCTGTTGTTTCTGGAAGATGCCCCAGTGGAAACGCACCTACAAAGCTGTTAAGAAGTCACCAGCTTAGATGGAGTGGACAAGTGGACTACAGACTAGGATTTAATTAGCGAGAGGCGTGAAAAGCCAGCAATCCAGCCCAGCATTCCCTGGATTTCATCTCTGGCACAGGAAGGGGTTGTATGTTCCCCGCTTGTGGCTTCTATTTTAGCCTGTATTCATTGCTGAGATGCTTTAACACAGCTGTGCTGGTTCATTAACTGCTCAGTATGTCACTCAGCCCAAGCAAATGGCTTTGGGGTAGTGTTTTCCAAGGACTCAAAGGAAGGGTAGACCTCTGTGAGGAAAAGAAGGTGTTGGTATAGGAGATATTTGATAATCTGATGAGATACTGAGAAGACGACTCAAGCAAAAGCAAGGCAGCTTCTTAGAGTAAAAAGGCCAGTGCTTGACTGGACATTTCAGCAATAATCCTCAGCCACTCAGACCCTACTGAGACACCAATGAACCAAGAATTCTCCTTGAGTTACAGCTAACACTTTCAGGAAAGAGCTCACAGCTCCGGCAACTTTCCTTATAGCCCCAGAAGAACATGCTTTGATGACACGCAGCGGCCACCAAGAATGAGAGAAACAGATTTCCTCTTCTGCTCACTGCATCCTGTTCTCAGGCAAGAACTATGCGCTGAATTATAGCGCACTCAAGCCTTGCCCTTGAATGCTTCAGTTAGGAAGGTGCCCTGCCCTAGCTGCGTCAGAGATGTGCTGAGCCGTGCAGCTGCTAGTTAGGCATTGTTTCCAAAGAAACAGGGTCCATACCGTGCTGTAAGTGACTCATGCTGAGATCATCCTGCTCAGGAAGAGACAGGAGTGATCCCACCTCTTCCTCTGGGGAGGGCCCATGGCATGGATGAAGAAAGCAGGTGCTGCAAACGGGGAGGTTCGGGGCTTCCCAGTGCCTTGCCCCTAGGATCCCTGTTTCCTGCATGGCAGAGGGAGACAGACCATAGAGAACATTTTGTCTGCCAACACACACTATGGCATCCATCACAGTGACAGCCATTGGCCATAAGCAGTCTGGGACAGGCATCTCTGGCACTTGGCCCCAGCATGCTGGCATGCCTCTGCTCCTCACCCTGGCCCTGCTGCAACCACTGTGTTACTCTGCCATGGCTCAGCCTCCCTGCTCCCACCTCACCTTGTGCATTAATCCAGCCCCTTGTAACTGCTCACTTCATCCTCCATGCAGGTAGCGTATGGAAGACCACTGTAAGTCCAGGTGGCGTAAGGGACCCAGTTTTAAATGAAAGAGATTAAGAAATCCGCATAGCACTGTGGAAAGCACAGTCTTCATGACTATTATCATGCTGGTACTGACCCTACCTGAATAACTAGAGAAAACAAGGCCTCTGTAATGCTATTTCCTAGTCCACCCTGATCTGCTCATCGTTGGGCTGTTCCAGCCTTTGACCAGAGCTGTACCAGCTCTTCCAAAATAGGTTTTCCCTAGTAGTTGCCTCCTGTGCACATGCACTCACACGTCAGCAGTACACGAGCTGCTTACGCCTGCTCTTCCAAGTAATCATTGCTGCTCAAATTGCCATTAGAAATCCAGCTTGGACCAAAAACTGAAGAGATTGACAAAAACACATTTTACTGCCCTTCCTGCAAAACTCTTGAACTCCTCAAAGTTGAACACATGAAAGCAATCTGAGGTTAGCATGTAATACACAACCCACATAAAAGAGATAATTTAGTATTAGACACGTTACCAGAAACAGGTTGAAACTAATAGAGGTTTTGCACTGAGGTCATAAAATACAGCACTTTTATAATCTTGTGTGGCATCCCTACTTAATGTCTTGATGGAGGATAACTACAAGCGCTCCTATGTTGATAGGAGCCTGAATACAAAAATGCTTTCACCCTTCTCTGCTGTTTTGAGAGAGATACATCCATAGGACAGCCTCCAAATGGCAACAGACCATTCTGAAGAGATGGCCAAAGCCTCTCCTCTCCTCTCCCCTCTTCTCTTCTTCCATAACTACTGGAAGGCTACACCAACAAACAGAATCCAAGCATTCCATAGCAGATCCACTGTGAAGACGACTTTTCATAATATCATTGTAACACTATTTTAGCACTGCCAGCATACCCTCCTTGAAGCTGCCGACTAGAGATGAGTGTGGAGATCAATCTACCAGAGGTATAAAGGAATCCATGTGATATTTCTCTTCTGATACTTCAGGTACCCACACACGACCCATCATTAATGACTGTCCACTGCTGACTCCCATAAGCTTCAACCACATCACCTCTGTTTTTACAGACCTTGAAGCCCAGTCCCTCACTGTAAGCCAGAAACAATAACAAATTTAATGCATGTCAAACAAGACTCAAACAGCTTCTGAAAATAGAGCAGAATTGCACCTTTAAAAAGTACGTTGTCTGAGAATCTCTCTATAGTTTAAAAGTTAGCTTGGTACAAACGAGCTACATAGCAAAATGCTAAATCTCTCCAGAGAACAGAGTTAAATAAAAGCAGATATTTCTTTTCTTAACACCTTGTCAGCAAAATTCTGTTTCCTGGGCAAGTTTCTTTTTCTCTTTTGCAAAATTATTGTGCTGGTTTGCTAACGATGCTTTTCTAAGAACGACTACCTAAGCAACATAGCAGCTTTCTCATCCTGTCTCTTCCAACACTTCAACACTCCCTCGTGCACCCCAAACAGAAAATTATTTGCCTTGAGGCTTGCAATGAAATGCATAGAAGTTAATGGGAGAAAATGCTGTAAAACCACTAAGGGCCACCAAAACTACAAAAGTCTATGCTAAAAAAAACTTCCATTGTGACCAATGGCCCACCTTCCTCTTTATTCTCAATGATGAGCTGGGCAAATGGAATGTTCCAACTGATTTTGTGGTTTACATTCAACTTAGTCAGTTTTTTTTGGAAAACCTTGGATGGAACTGTGAATTTCACAGCACACTATCACTAAGAATGTTTAGGACCTACCTGTAAACTGGGCAGTCATCAAAGATCACAGGAAAAGAGGTCTACTCTTTATTCATCAACCTAGAATAGCTGGAAGAATATCAGCGATGTAACACATTGACCTTAATTAAGACAGTGATTCACCCTTTGCTCTCTGAACACGAGCAGTACAGCTCGGTGCTGAAAGGCTTACTGGCAAAGTAAGTTTGGCTGAAGAGGACAAGTTTACCATGTGGGGCCTGTTTTGAGGGAGAATATAGGGATACTGAGAGACGTGTCCCAGAAAACTAACATTCATTCTTTTTTTTTTTTCTTATAAAACAAGGACTTCTTCAACCTGATTATACTTTTTTTTTTTTTTTTTTTTAACAACTGAAAACAAACAGACAAACATACTACAGCATCCAGAAAACAAACTTATTTTTGGATTCTTCCCCACCTCATTCTTTTTTGTTCCAGGTGAAATACTGCACCAGAATACCTCTAGAAAGAATGTTTACCTTGCAGGATTCAGTATGATATGCTTCAGTATTATTTTTTGCTTTGATTGGATCATTTCATTATACTAACAAGACCCAATATTGACAGCATAATGTAGAAGGGAAAAATCTCTAGTTTTATACTTCAGTGGCTCCAGAGTTCTCCAGCTGATCCAAACCAAATTTCCAATCACATACTTCTTTAAGGAACAAATGTGTTAAAAGATATCAGGAACAATATTTCTAAAATTGATCTATAAATCTATTACATGTAATAATCACACAGTCTATCTTCAGTGTCTACAAACCATCAATGACTAAAAATATTCAGCTTAGTTTAGAGTCATGACAGTAAATGCCTTCAGATGAAGAAGGGAACGTGCTGGTAACAAACACTTCCCTCCTGTGTTGCAAAGCTCCTGGAGTTTGCCATAAAAGATTTCAAAACGACATGGGCACTGAAGACAATGCAAATAATTTGGTGTACAGCCCAGTTTTTGCAAACCAAGAGTAAATACTGTTGTTACAGCAGTGACATGAATGGGCTGGAGCATTTAGCACAAGGGCAGAAACTGCTCACACCAAGTTCATAGCTGCACTCCTCCTAAGTGTTGACATGTGCCCTGGACAGCATCATTATCAATCTGAAGTTCTGGACTACTTTCCATGAAGA